TAAAAAACAGAAGTAAATATTAAAGCTAAATACATGTAAAATTGTAAGAGTTCATAGGCAAAACGGCGCTCTATAATTTTCGATGTGAGAAAACAAAGACACTTGTAACTGAAGAGGTGGAGTAAGATTCGCACTCCGGTACTATGTATAAATAGACCAGTGTGCGTCGCTTTGAACAGCATTGACCTGAGCACCACGGAAGCACAATCTTGCCCTTCATCTTAGTTTAGATCATCTCCGAATAGTTATTTCTATCCGAGAGACAGTAGTATCTTTCTAAGATTATTATTAAACAATTATATTCGCATAATTAACAATGTGGAGAGTGACCTTATATTAATGTCCTGATGCTGTGTGGTCTATTTTCCTACGGTGAGGATAGAAATAATTGGTCATACGGTTCACTTAACAAGTTATTGCTCCAAAATAATATTTTGGAGCAACTGCTAATTACTTTTCATTATTCACACAATCATCATCATCAACACATTCGCGAGTTTATATAAAGATTTATTTTTTTAATTTTCGAATAACAATTAATCGATTGTATATGACTGAGTTCAATATCTCTTTAAATGCAGGTTAAGAACAAATTAAATAAATATTGTACACGTTTGATAATATAATTTGAAGCATTACAGTAGAAAAAAGCTTGAGCACCGCTATAATAAATGTATAAAGTTAAAAAGGGACTATGTTGAAAAATAAATTGGGATTATTTAAATAAATAGGGGCTTTTAATTTAAAATCACGGACTTATTGAATGACCCTCATATACAGGATGTCCCATTTTAACTTACCCAGGCCGATTTCTTAAAAAATGATCGGGGTTAACGAAAAATGTTTCAGACAAGGGTTATCCAACTTGAAGGGAGGCATATCATCGTAACTTTTGGTGTGACCTTATGTAATAAGTTTAGGGTCATTTCAAGGTCAACTTTGTTTTTTAAATAGGTCCCCCCTATTTTTGACCCCAGATTCGCAAAGAGCGGTAAATACTATATCAGATGATGTAACATACGTCGGGTGTGGATAACCCTCCAAGGTCATTTCAAGGTCAACGTACTTTCCTATCACTCGAAATGCCCGACGAAGGTAAGATTCAACTATCAGCGTTTAAAATTGAAAGTAATACGACTTTGAAAGGAAGTTATGATATACTCCTTTTAAGGGCTTTTCATAGACAACTTTGTGTTAGAAAAGACCGGGAGTTCTAATATCATAGTACGTATTATTAAACAATCGGTTCAAAGCTTCGAAGTCATGTAGAAGTTGAGAGTGTTCGAGTCGAACGAAATATCTGCTTCGCGACAGACTGGTGCAACTGAGAAAATTCTTGCTTGATACCATTCTCGAAAATATAGGGGTGAATGAAATCGTAAGTTTAAAAAATTACTAAAGTATAAAAAATTCAAATATAAAAAATAATTTACAAATTAATGAAAACTTGTACTAACAATGAAATGCTACAATTCTCATATTTTTTTACACAATGGCTAATTATCCAGCAAATGAACTGGTTGAAATACTGTTGACACTTGGTATATGTCAGTGGAACTATAAAGTTGCTGCTCGGCTCATATGCTGAACATTTTTCTGGCCACCGACGTCCAAGCCATAAACAAAAGGAAAATATTGTAAGACGCAATTGTATAAATAATTTACATCGGCAGCGACGTCCAAACAAAAATATGAATAATAAAGATGCAAGACTCATTGCAGTATTAGTTATAGTTCGTTTGGACCCTCATGTGAGTATGAGGACTATTCAATGCCAATTAGGAATTCCCCGTTTTACTACGTATCGTATGTTACAATCGATGCGTTACCAACCATATCATATAACACTGCACCAAGAGTTGAATGAAAATAATCAACTTAGAATGGAGTTATGTAAATGGGCTTTCAACCAATCTAATCGTGATCCATATTGCAATCAAAGCACCGATGGAGCGTTAATGTTTGGGCCAGAATTTGTAATAGACACATCATTGATCCATACTTTTTTGATCGTACAGTCAACAGTCCCCGATATCTTGACTTTCTAGAAAATCATCTACCTAAATATTTCAAGGACGTCCACTGAATATTAGACAGCGTATGTGGTTGCAACAAGATGATGCTCCAGCTCACTTTGCGATAAATGTTAGAACATTTTTGAATAACAGGTTTAGAAACCATTGGATAAGTCGTGCTAGTTCAGTTCCTTGCCCTTGAGTTCGTTTTCTTGTCACATATAAAATTAGGTTATCATAACATGTCTTACTTGAAGTCAAATTACTTTTATTTGAAACGTTAATAGTTAAAACTTATCTTCGTCGGGCCCATCGAGTGAAAAAAACAAAGTTCATCTTGAAATGACCTTGAACCTGGTCTCCAAGGTCACACGCAAGGTCAGGAGAATATGCCCCTACAAGTTGGACAACTCTTGTCTGAAACATTTTTCGGTAACCCCGACCACTTCTGTGAAACCAGCCTGGGTAAGTTAAATTGGGATACCCTGTATATAGTTTTAAAAAGACGATCTATTTATGTTTGTATGCCTGTGTTATTCATAACAGTAGTCGGTAATGTCCTCCAACAACTCCATCATTCTATTCTGATTTAAAAAGATTGTAGAACCTGACGATGAAGATCGGGTTGATGAATATTAGCTTCTTGAAGTATTCGGTGTCTTAATTCATCGAAATTTTAACGATAAACATATCTTCAAATATATGCAAAAGAATGCACGATCTTTTAAATACTGCCGCAGGCATTATTCTAACAGTGTTATTCCAGAGGATCTTCGAAGCCATTCAATTTTTATTTCGACCTATCCATTTATCGGGAAAATTGGTAACAAGAAACTTATATTTTTTTGTGTGCCTTTGTAATCAATATTTATAACAAAAAAACATCTGATATCGTGAAATGCAAAGGGATCCTATATAAAGGAAGGAAGAATAGCCTAGATCACAAAAGAAGTATTACTAGAGTAATTAAAACAAGATATTATTTAGTTTTGAAAATGTTTACTTAATATTATTAAATATATGCTATCATGAAATGTCATTAATAACATGTTTCCTCAACATTCTTAAGTTTGATCAAACTTTAACCTATTTATCGTATTAGGCTAAAAATCTAAACCATTTGTTTTAAAAATGGTAAATATTACAAAGGAAACAGTAGGAAAATTTATTATCATTTTAGAATGTCCGTAATTTTCAATATTTCTAACCTATTTTTAGACTCAATAAATATTTCAATTTTAAGTAATATCTAATCCGAACGTATAATTTCCAGTAGAATCCAAATCTATAATACAAGTAGGAGTTTCCATTAGAAATTTACCGTTGGATCTGATTTAGAATAAACATTGCAGTCCAAAGAACTTTGTATTATTGTATTATTATTGTATTGTACGTATATGTATGTATTGTATGTTACTGTATTATTAATTCTTGATTATAATATATTTCATTATTGACATAATAAGTGTTCATTCTTAATCTGAAAGTACAAGACACCTTGTCTACAATAATAAAAATATGCTAAATATATATGTTTTTAAATTTGTTATGCATTTATAAATACGAGGTCTGTTCGGAAAGTATCGGGCCTACCTTTATATTGTCGTGCTAGCGTTATTCTTTATCGTCTGATGGGTGGCATCCTTCAAAGTAACCCCCACTTGATTGAATAACACGGTTCCATCGATGTTTCCACTTTTCAAAACAGTCCCGGAACTCACTTTTAGGGATAACCTTAAGTACACTCGTCGCATTGTTTTCAACCGTTGTTTTGTCATCGAATCGGTGTCCTTTGAGTGGTTTTTTTAGTTTTGGAAACAGCCAAAAGTTACTAGGGGCTATGTCGGGACTATATGGAGGTTGTCGAAGCAATGCGATATTGTGTTTGCTCAAAAACTGCTGTACAAGATTGGATGAATGCGCTGGCGCATTATCGTGATGGAGAAGCCAGTCACCTCTTTCCCAAAAGTGCGGCCGTTTTCTTCTTACTGCATCACGCAAACGTTATAAAATTTGAACGTAGTATTCTTTATTGATTGTCTGACCTGTTGGTGCCTATTCGTGATGTACAACACCTGCACAATCGAAAAAAACAATCAACATTGACTTAATATTGCTCCGACTTTGACGTGCTTTTTTTGGTCTTTGCGATTCAGAATGCTTCCACTGTGAAGATTGTTGTTTTGTTTCAGGGTCATAACTATAAACCCATGATTCATCACCTGTAATAACTTTTCTAAGCACATTATCATCATTATTGACCATTTCCAGATTGTCCAGAGCGATTTCTAAGTGAATTTTCTTCTGCTCTGCTGTGAGTAATTTTGGGATGGATTTCGCACACACGCGTTTCATTCTTAAATTTTCGGTTAAAATTTCTGAAATGATAGTTTTTTGTATCCCAAGGTCTTCTTCTAGATCTCGCACAGTCATACGACGATCTTGTTCGATTGCAAGTCGCACTCGCTCAAATATTATCTACGGTTTTTGTCGTCGAAGGTCGGCCGGAACGAGAATCACTATCGACAGAAGTGCGACCATCCTTGAACCGTTTATACCACTCTTTTATTCGTGTTTTGCTCATACACTCGCTTCCGAAGACCTTTTGCATCATTTCAATAGTTTCCGAACTCGTTTTTCCGAATTGAAAGCAAAATTTGATGCAAATTCGTTGATCTTGTTTTTCAGTCATTTTTGACAATATCGAAATCCGACGAACGCGAAAAAGGCACTGTAAACAAAGTCACGCTGCGCATGAACTATACATCCGGCAGGTGTCAGTAAGTAACCAACAGATTCGCGAGGCTTTACTGTTGACGTTTCTGTCCGGTAGAGATCGCTCGAACACTATGGCGCGAAGATATAAATGTAGGCCCGATACTTTCCGGACAGACCTCGTATATGTGTGTGTGTGTGTGTGTCAGTGTGTGTGTCTATTAATGAATTTAAAAATATCAATTTATGTAAATTGAATTTTTTACTTACTCCTTTCGAATTTTTGTCGCAACGAATGTTGGTTGCAGTATTTTCTAGATTATCCGGTATATACTCTTCCATTTCTGTACAAGGAACAACCCTTGATAATTCAGCGCTGTCGAATTCTTTTCCAGATAATATTATATTTTTATCTAATGTAATATCGAATTTGGTTGCTGTATTAATTTTATCCGTTGTTGGATCCGAACACTTTTGATCCTTTTCGTTATCACTCCATTTATGTTTATATAATGCACGTCTCTTATTGCTGTTCATCGTACCTGTAGATCTAGTTTTAAAAATACTACCTTTTCTTATACCAGTTGGTTTTTCTAATTTTTTATCGGTAGGTTCCGGAGGTCTTTCCAACTTTGTAATATGACAGTGAGACTCTTTATGAATTTTACTATTCAAATTAGTACTGGCATTTTCACTGTCATCATCACTAGAACCCCAATCTTGATCTAAATTTTTTGTTGAAGTTCTACCATCTACTACCAATTTTAATAAGTGAGATTTATCGGTTGAAATTATTTTATCAGTATAGTCATTATTTAAATTAATTTGCACTAATGTTTCACATTCTTTAGATAAATTCACTTCGCTTTTGATATTTGACTCAGATTTCTCTACTACTAAAATACTTTCGTCATAGTTTGATCCTTTTATGTCTTTTTTTAATTCATTGTTTTTTGTCAATGGAAGTTTGTTATCACGAAAATCTCCAGTTAATGTATAGATAGTTTTCTCTGCTACAGTAACAAAATCTAATTTTTTCTTATTTATATTTGATGATTTTTTACATGTAATGTCATTTTCGGTCTTAACTATGTCGTAGTTAGAAACCTCTCTATCAATAGAACCTGTTAAAGATTTTCTAAAAGTTAACGATATATCAGTATTCTGTGGAGTGGCAGATAACATTGACTCATTTGATGATACATCTGATCGTAAATATTTAGCTTTACTACGTGTAGTTCTCACATCGAAAGATTCTACTGTTTGAGGAATCGATGGTATCGTGAATGAATCGTTACGAAATATGTGATCTTTCTTGTTATCGAATTTTACATTATGTTGATATATACTTTGTTCAGAATTCGATGTATTTTGCAAATTACTTTTTGAAATCCGATAAGTACCAGAAGCATTATCCTCCGAAGAAACGAATTTAGCAGTGCCCTTGCATATCCTTAATACAATTGGAGGTTTACTTTCATCTTTGCAAGAAGTCTCAGAATACGATTTTAAAATATTATCATTTTTCAGGATTTTTCCATTAATGCTAGCGCCAGTACCGTGCTTTTCATTACAAAGTTGACCTCTTTCAGAATTAGAAAATGAAGTACGTACTTCATTTAGTCGTAAATCTTCAGAAAAGGGCAGAATATTTCTACTTTTGAAAAATTTTTTTGGCTTATACGATTCTGATTTTGAGTCTTCCTTCTTGAGTAGAAGTACCTTTTTTTCTTGGACATTTTGATTTCCATTATCCGATTTCATGCGTTTTACTCCGTGGTTAAAACGTCCATCAAGCAAACATCTCCCTAAAAAACATTAAATATCAAAATTCAATAAATAAATATTAATAAAGGTTAGTAATTAAAATTTGAAAATAACGTTATTTCCAATTAATTTCTACCTCATTATATTAATAAAAAAAATTAACATTTTCGTTGAATACTATTTTCTATAAATAATGATATTGGCCCTTTAATGAATAGTGCTGAATAAAGCAAAAATACTCAAAAATGGCAAGTTTCATAACAAAATTTATTATTGAATATAAGTTCTATTGTCAATTTTACAGAAATTTATAACTCTATTAACCCAACCCTTTCAGAAGTAATAAAGAGTATACTCGCAACCAAAATTTATTAAGTTTTTCGGTACAAATAAAGTTTATTACAAGTGATTAATAAAAGATATCTTCTTCCATACTCACAAATGATTCATTTGAATACTGCTGTATTAATTTTTCCAATATTACGCATTAAAAACTCCTTGTTAACCTATTAACACCCATAACAGAGAAATCGCAACTCTGTTTTCAGGCCTAAATCTATCACATATTCTACAGACAAATTCAAACTAAACGATATTTTTGCCTACTTTCCATTTCTGGTCTCAGAATTGCGAATTTCCCACCTAAAAATTAATTATGGCGATATTTATAAGAAAAGTGTAAAATTTCGATGCCTTTTTTTTAATACAATTTTTAATTGCATTATCGTTAAGGACGGAACTTCTGCTTTCAACTATGGATGCATAAATTAATTGTACTTGAAAGTCAGTCGATTCCCGAATCTTGAAATTCAATATGGCGGCTAGAAAATGGTGCCTCTAGTGCAAAATTTTTGCCATATATTGACGAATTTTTTCTTTGGAAATAATGCATTTGATGAAAAAATTAATAAGAACAAAAATGCGTAGAATCATCCGAAGAATACGTCTGAATTTTTTCAGCGAGCTTTGAGCAACTTTTTTACTTTTGCAAATTAACAATTTATGATAAATTGCAAAAATTCATCGAATCGTCTTGAAAAAATTCAAGTGCACTCTTTGCTCAATTCTAAGCAAATTTACTTCCAATTAGTGACCGAGTATCTGTCACATTTCAGAAAATATAATTTTCTCATTGAAGAATTTTCATTTCTTAGCCGTTGATGTACGTACAACATTGCCCGACACTTATCGCGTGAAGGTGAATGAGTCAAAGCCTCTTGTTTTGTCATTTTTTTTGCTTTGATTTTCTATTTTTTAATATCTTTTATTTTATTTCATTTATGGTTTTATAATTTTTAATTGTCTTTCATTTATTATTTTTTGTAAAACATGATTTACAATAAAAATTGTTACATGTTTTGCAAAATTTATTTGTCCTGATAACACATGGATTGCAACAGCATTTCTTCTATTGTTTGAGGGATATCGTTTTGTGTAGGATATCATTATCAATATTACATCCAGTACAATAATGTAACGCAATATCGTAAAGAAATTCTTTTGTACTTTTTTTGCAATTCGAATTATCACACTTAAAAGGTACTACTGCATTGGTAATAACCGCCTGAATTAATCTAACGCAAACAACCCACGTCCACTTTTTTGATCGGATGCTTCGCACAATATTGTAATGAACATCATGAACGTCAACCCCTCTCATAAACCTATTATAAAATGAAATAAATTAGGGAAAGCTAAGTAAGTAAGAGTGGTGTTACACCAGATGCTGCAAAAATTATTGAAATCGGTTTAGAATCAATAATAGTACTGAAAATCATTCTGCTATTTTGATCTTACTTTGCAGCAAATGCGCCTCTTTTTGATTTTTTATCAATATCATTTTTTTCTTTTATCCCATTTTATCCAAAGTAGCGATGCTACGCAAACCCAGCTTTCTTAAATGTACCAAAAGGTCTAAGCTTGTAAAATAATTGTTCGTGTAAAGATAGTAAAGACTTACTTTACGAACAGTTAGTGTTAAAAAGAAATTCTCTAATAAGTTTATTACTACTCGAGTCCCTAAAGCACATTTGGCTAATTTATCCCTAACAGTTGAATTTATGCCACAGTACAGATCGAAATCTAGTAAAAGGCCATTTAATGTACACAGACCCCAAAATTTCAGACCGAATCTAATTGGTTTGCAACGAATGAACTGTTTCATAATACTTGTAGTTCTAGTGTAGCATTTGGCTATCATTTCATCTAGTGATAACGTGGTTTGAAATTACCCGAACAATTTTATGTTTTTACGGAACAGATTCATGACATGACGAACATTCCAAGCTTTATCATTGCGGTCTTCATTCCCTGGCTTTGATAATTGCAATTTAGATTTCAAATTTTCAAATATATTGCGTCCCACAGCATATATTTCACAACATAACTGGATAAAAAAAGGATCATTAGACTACGAGGGTCGTTTGAAAAGTCCGTGCAAAGTCAGAGAGATGGCGCTACTAGTGCGTATCAAGGTTATTTTTAGTTAGTGGCATATCTTGGAAGAGCACACACCAAGTTTCAGCCAGATCGGCCAATTACTTTGCGTTTTACATTCGTTTCAATCAAAGAAATCGAGTAGAAAAAAATTTCGTGTATTGATTAAACATTACTTTTTCAAAGGCAAAACGCCTCAGGAGATTAAACAGAAGCTTGATAAACATTATGGTGATTGTGCACCTTCGATTAGAATGGTTTATAAGTGGTTTCAAAATTTTCGGAGTGGCTATATAAGCACAAAAGACAATGAACGTTCTGGACGCCCTGTTGAGGTTACCACTTCAGAAATCATTGATAAAATCCATGATATGGTGATGGCTGACAAAAGAGTGAAGGTGCATGAGATTGCTAGTACTGTAGGCATCTCGAGCGAACGGATACATAATATTTTGCACCAACATTTGGACATGAAAAAGCAATCCGCTAGATGGGTGTCGCGATTGCTCACGATTGACCAAAAACGAGATCGTGCAAAGTGTTGCAAGAATGGTTTGCAGCTGTTCCAGCAAAATCTGCAAGACTTTAAGCGTCGTTTCATCACTGTAGATGAAACATGGATACATCACTGCACTCCTGAGACCAAAGAATAGTCTAAACAATGGGTTACCAAGGGGGAATCTGCTCCGAAAAAGGCGAAGACAATTCCTTCGGCCGGGAAGGTTATGGCGACTGTCTTTTGGGATTCGCAAGGAATAATCTTTATCAACTATCTGGAAAAGGGTAAAACCATTACAGGCGAATATTATTCATCGTTACTGGATCGTGTGAAAACCGAGTTGCTAGAGAAACGTCCACGATTGGCCCACAAAAAAGTCCTCTTCCACCACGACAATGCGCCAGCTCATGCCTCAGCTGTTGTGGCCGCAAAACTGATGGAGATAGGGTTCCAACTCGTTTCACATCCCCCCTATTCTCCAAACATGGCTCCGTCGGACTACTATTTGTTCCTTAATATGAAAAAATGGCTGGCGGGGAAAAGATTTTATTCAAACGAGGAGGTGATTGCAGAAACGAATGCCTATTTTATAGACTTGAACAAATCCTATTATTTGGAAGGGATTAACAAACTAGAGCAGCGTTGGATGAAGTGTATAAGTATAAAAGGAGACTATGATGAAAAATAAAAAAGATTTATTAAAAAAAATCAAGCAGTTTTGGTTTTTGCATGGACTTTTCAAACGACCCTCGTAATAATATCTTTGATATTTCTTTTTGTTGAATGCTGAAAAAAGTATTATTCCTATAAATGTATCCAATTCTGACATTTTTAGATGGCAACTACTGATCTTAGTATATTCAATAATATAATTTTTAATTTCTTTGCAAAAAAATCTTACAAATAGGTTAACTGGACTAATATTCCTAATTTCTTTCTAAAACTTGAAAAGCTAATTGAATAAGTAAAAATGAATACTAATACGTACTTGGGGGGTCAATAAGTCTTTAGAAAATCGAAGAGATGGCCCTCGTCACGCTTAAATTATGATGTTTTTGGCAAGCAATACTACTAACTAGATATCGTACAAAGTTTCAGCTCGATTCATTAAGTCGTTTTTTTGTGAGCGTTGATTGAACAAATAGTTACTGGTTTATTTGAAAAATATAAAAAACAGACTTTGAGCGGTGATAAAACATTTTCATTTGAAAGGCCTTACACCGAAAGAAATTACAGTAGAGTTGAACGCCGTTCATGGCAAGTCTGCCCCTGTGTTTAAGACTGCTTCTTTAACTGGGTAAATGAATTTAAACGCGGTTGTACAACAACAAAAGATGAACCTCGTTCAGGACGCCCCGTAGAAGTGAGTACGCCCGAAATGGTCAACAAAATCCACGATATGGTGTTAAGTGATAGAAGATTAAAATTGTGAGAATTTGTTGAGGCTACAGGGGTATCAAAGGGTACAATCATTTCAATTTTGCATGAAAAATTGGGGATGAAAAAAATACCAGCAAGATGGGTGCCACGTTTGCTCAGTGTTGAAAACAAACGAACCAGCGTGGTCACCTCTGAAGCTCTTTTGGCACGCATACGTCGTAATCCGGAAGACTTTTGGCGTCGACTAGTAACTGTAGACGAAACATGGGTACACCACTACACTCCTGAAATCATGGAACAGGCAAAACAATGGATCACCGCAGGAGAACCAGCCCCAAAGAAGGCAAAGACAGTAAAGTCAGTTGGCAAGATTATGGCCACGGTTTTCTGGGATGCGTATGGAATCATCTACATTGACTACTTGGAAAAGGGCCAGACGATCACTGGGCAGTATTATGCGTCATGATTAGGTTAGCTGAAAGAAAAAATCAGAGAAAAACGTCCTCACTTGAACAAAAAAAATGCCTCTTTCTTCAAGACAATGCTCGAATACTCACGTGTACAGTTTCGATTGCAAAAATTAACGATTTAAAGTTCGAATTAATTCACCATTCACCATATTCGCCTGATTTGGCTCCCAGTGACTTTTTCTTATTTCCTAACCTCAAAAAATGGCTTGCCGAACAACGATTCACATCGAATGAAGAAGTCATCACCGAAACAAAT